AATGATCTAGCTTCCGTTACTAGCTCATCGATGGCACTTACAAGGTGGCTACACACAATGTCAGATAAGAGATAATATCGCTAGGTGACATCTGGGAGATGTTATCTTTAGGTAGCATCTGAAAGATGGCATCTCTTGGCGGTATTTGGAGATGACAGCTCTTTATGCGGCATCTGGGAGGTGGCATCTAAGGATGGCATTTCTAGGTGGCATCTAGGGATAGCATCTCTAGGTGGCAGCAGGGAGATGGCATCTCTAGGTGGCATCTAGGGATAGCATCTCTAGATGGCAGCAGGGAGATGACATATCTAGGTGGCATCTAGGGATAGCATCTCTAGGTGGCAGCAGGGAGATGGCATCACTAGGTAGCATCTAGGGATAGCATCTCTAGGTGGCAGCAGGGAGATGGCATCTGAGAGCATGGAGTGGCATCAGTTTCCTGGCAGTGTGATCTCGGCGGTGGAGATGAGAGGTTGTGAGCATTTCCGAGCTATTTTTAAACACTTGGAACTTAAAATTTCCTACTACCATAAAAATTGTGAACTTTATTGAAACTCATTGTGTATGACCTTGACTATTTGATAAAGTTATTCAGGATAAGATTGCTACGTGCCTTTTAAACCTGAGTTAAGTAAAGCGTATAGCGCGTAGAGGAAAGCTGGATAATTTTCTTCACACTTGGCGTAATTGTTGAGTTCGGAGAGGGAGATGCGTAGGGCTTATACACTCGTTCCTGTACAAAAATACAGGCGGCCAACCATGGAATGCCCGCTTATAATCCAGATGTAATTTATATCTTTTCTTCGACGCTGAATAACGTCGAGAAACAAGTGTCGGCAAATCAGCGAGCAATCTGATAATTTCCGAGCCATGTTTGAATTAACGTTACAAGAAATTTAACGCTTCTATGTGTTCAAATATCATTACAATATTCGTGTTCATGGTTAGTCACTTACAAATATCGGTTTTGTTTAAAATCTTTACGATGAATTTTTCAATATTTGGGGGGGGGATTCTTTTTTGTACTTGGAAATCATGAAATCATCTTTCAAATCGCTAATATTTGAAGAAAAAATATTTCAATATGACTTTTATTGAATGAAATTCCGATGTAAGGAGAGGCCGAAAAATTGCGATAACTTTGCTTTACGGGCTTGTGAGGGCCCGTCTGTGGCCTCTTCAATGTTCGCGAAGATAAAAAGTTTTTGCTGCAAGATTCGCAAAGTTTGATGCAAAAAGTTGCTATGAGTGAACATGATGGAATTAATCTATGTCTTGTGTGAAAAGAAAATTTGTGTAACCTATTTCAAGTTTGAAGCATTTAATTATGAATAAAAATAAATGTTACTTTATCTGCTTCAATAAATTTAGATTTTAAACACGCACAAAGAAAACAAATTTCAGTCTTATTCTGCAACGTTCAAACGTTCTCATAACTTAATTAAATTTTGGGTGTATTGCACCCTTAAATATAGTAAGTGATAAATCAAATCAGTTTCAAAAATTCGCTCCAAAATATGAGCTGCAAAATTTCCGCTCGAAGTATTTATGACTGATCCATAGTTTTTTAAATTGTTGCGACCGAAAAAATTCACATCAAAATTTATGTTCTTAGTTGAACAGGCAGACCAGCCTACGTAACTTGCAGATTTGCATTGGCCTTATTTTAATCGTTCTTATAACATTTTAGCGTGGGCAATAATAGGATAATGATTACTCTAACAATAGGAGAGATCAATATTTTTGACAACCAGCGGGTGAACCGGACGATGCTCGTCGCTTAAGTTTAACTAATAATACAAATGCCAACCGAGAGTTTGCAAACATAAAACATTTAAATACCAAAAAATATCATAATTACCAGTTCCATGTATTTTTAAATGTACCAAAGTTACATTTTCAAGGGTGGTTGACCACGGAAAATTAAGGTTAATTACTGTGAAATGTTCGGAGGATAAATGAAAAATATTTGGAAAGTGTGTGATTACTGTCTGAGAAATGAATGACAATGTATGTAAGATGAATGATGAGTTTTACATGTTATTTGAAGAATTAGTAAATTTTTCGCAGGACTTCAACATTAGGTATTTGAAAATTCCGCGATTTCGCCAACACTGATCCTTTTATTAGGTGGAAAAATGCAACTGAAAGAGCAAATAAAAAAGAACAAAATTATTTTCGTAGATTGACCATTCACTTCAAATAGAGTAGAATGTTATTCTGATAAGAATTGTCAAATTTAAAGAGTTAGAACAGAGTATGAAAGCAGCATTACTGAAATGTTTCGAGATGTTTCATAGCAGGCTACGAACAATTGAATATAAAAAACTCCGCGATTTTGACTACCCTAACTATGTTAAGGGTCAAAGAGTTTCGTAAATTTCACAAAAACGTGACAAAATATTCAATATTTCACAGAAATTGAAGCTAGAGAAGAAAATTTACAATCTTGTTCGGGAAATGCACGAACTATATAGGGAAAATTTAATGGGAAGGTTTGAAAAATTTTCTAGGAATTTGGGCCACTTCCTAATTTTCATATCTAGTCGTTGTTTTGAATACCTCATGGCGGCCTAGATACAATTCTGGCTCACAGCCTTGGAATCGATTGCGATGACACGTGATCTTCACAGGAGTATAGGAAACGCGAAGATGTCATCCACGATGGTGAGGAAGGCTTTACCAACATTAGTGATACACTAGCAGATTAACCCGGCGGCGTTCGTGAAGATAATATCTGCGCTGGCTCCAAATGTAAATAAATATCAATGGTGTGTTAATAAAATCGTATAGCTTTTTTGAAGGTTGACCCTGCGTTTCTAGTTGCTTCTAGCTGATAAACAAACTTAGATTTAAAAATTGACTGGAATATTAATGTATGGTTTACAAATGAAGATTTATTATTCAAACGCTTAATCATGAGTTATCACTATCAAAATAAGAATTGATGTCAAAACTCCAATTATATAAAGTAATTTCTCATGAAAAAATGCAACCTTTTTCTTCCCAAAAGCGTGATCAAATTGGTCGCCATAAAGACAGTCTACGCACGTAGTCTTCTCACGCTCAATCGAGCCCAATTATATCAAAAATCAATGAATCGATCAAATAACTCTACTTGATGTTTACCTTTTATTTAATATCTTCTAAACGGAAAAATAATCCACATTATCATAATTTTATTGTATAGATTCTGTTTGCTTCAAGTCGAGAAATTGTCATTTGAGTTGCTCCTGCTGATCCATGAATTCTTTGAGCAAAGCGTCTGTCAGATTAAACGTTTGAAAAATAATTACAAGCAATTCTTAGTCGAGTTAGATATACTTAAGTGGAACACGTGACAGAAAAAACACGTATTAGAAAAATATATTTCCCGGACTGCAGGCTTCAGTGTTGCTAATTTGATATACTCCAAAATGACGAGCAAGTTCTATTCCTGTTATCGTCATGGAGCTTTAAATGCAGAATTATAAATTTAAAAAAAATTGGAAACCTCTTTTTGAAAAGACCTCCGATGGAACCCGCATTTAAAAATTACAAGAAAAATGAATTGGCATAAAAGTTAAATTCCACTACAATATTTCAATTTAAAGCTGTGAGTGCAGTGCCCATACAGCTTACATGTCTTAAAAGTGAGTGGGAAAGAATTAAAAATTAATCGTAAAAATATAATTAATATGACGAAAACATATATCAGTAGTATTTAAATTTTCGGAGAAGGGCTGACAATTGAGCAGAAAATATTTGAAGACCATACACAAATTTCATTTGAAGTATATTGATATACTTGAAAAAACTCTTTGAAAGTAATTATTTAAGCGAAGATGTACCAGTATCCAAAAAAATGTATCACCGTTCTGAAGCATGATTTTTAAATTAATTGGATCGACCTCTGCTCCAAATAGGAGCAAGTATATAAGTGGTGGTGCCGGTGGTTCTGAGCGATAGTGATGTAACCGTGTGGTGTCACATACAGTGGTGGTGCTGATGGTTCTGAGCGGTGGTGAGGTAACCGTGTGGTGTCACATACAGTGGTGGTGCTGATGGTTCTGAGCGATGGTGAGGTAACTGTGTGGTGTCACATACAGTGGTGGTGCTGGTGTCTGCCGCATGTGATGGCTCCCTCAGACCTAGACCGAGCTGCTGGCCTCCTCATTAGTTTGGCATTAATTGGGCAGTTGATTGCGTGTACTCATTAGCGAGTGTTTGAGAATTAAAGCTGAATGTTTCATTGATATTCATGCAAATAAACGTCGTCCGCTTTACTAGGAAGAGGAATGCTAGTAGTAATTAAAAACGGAGCATGTCAAGGAAGACTTTTTTCTCACTTTAAAAGCTATAATCCAGTGTTGGAAAACGCCCAGCATTCATTTTGCATGGCTCTCATCGGTTTGATAGGAATTTTTAGCAAGTATTCTTTGAAAATATTAAATTCATCTTCTAACGCTCCCAGTGATCTCCAAAAAATTTAAAGAGAAAGTTACTCATAAATTGTTTCGGTAGCTTGCGTATAGGTGACACTAGTAGAAATAAAATTTAAATTTTCAGTCAAATTGAAGTTGTGTAGTTTTCATTTTATCTGTAACCTATTAATGCAATTTCCTTATTTATCTGGTCGCCGAGTTGATAGTTAACTGAAAAAATGAGGTCGAGTAACACAATATAACTGAAAATTATGCCGACACGTTGAAATGAAAGGCTTACAAAATTTCTAAAATATCTATGTGATCAACCAACGAGGGTAAATTTGCATGGAAACTTTATGACACATTTAAATCAATCATTCATTTACAAATTATTAATAATTGAAAAATTTTTCATTACTTTTAGAAATTAAACCTTAGTGTCTCGAAGACTTGGACAAATTTAATTGCATTTTCCAATCGTTTCGTGGAAACACAATAGAGTATTAAATTCTGTTTTTTATTAAACTGTGATTATGAATATGACAATAAATGTGTCACTAAACTGATTCTTCATAAACGTTTATTTCAGATTTTCCAAGTCTTAATTGACATAATTACGCCGTTCTTCATTCGGACTGATGACTTTTACCAATCACAATGTTTTGAATTGAAAATTTTACAAGCTGATTTGTATAAACGTTTCTGGATTAAAAAATGTCTCTAATCATCATCAATGAAAATTTAGTTACAATATAATTTTAATTTAATTATAATAGATCCTCATGAACATAAGATAACTAAAATGACTCATGATAATGTTCAAGAAGTTGAGACAATAACCTCAATTGCGAATGAGGTTTTGACTTGATTTGACGATGCTATTTGTAAAAACTGCGATAGCATCAAAGTCCCTTAAAAGATTAGGAACGACGTACGATTGTTTTTTGTTGAACTGTTACCCGGCGGTGTGATCAGTGACCATGCCTGGCATCGTTGTCTTCCGACGGCGGTGGTCGGTAGGATCGGACGATCTCGTCGTGCCGGGGATCTTCCTGCTCATCATGCACACGATCTGGTGAGTCTGTTGATCTCCAGCCATTGATCTTCCTGCTCATCATGCACACGATCTGGTGAGTCTGTTGATCTCCAGCCATTGATCTTCCTGCTCATCATGCACACGATCTGGTGAGTTTTTTGATCTCCAGCTGATCATCTTGCAGACCCAAGAGGACATCAAAGAGGCGGAACACTTGAACTCAAGCGACCATATAATGAAGTTTGATGAGCAAATCATGAGAGACGACGTTCTGTATCATTCGATATTTTCGAAATAGTCAGTAGACTGACCTGATAGTTTATAGAAGATTGCTGCACCATTTCGAAGACATTTCATTTATTGTGGCATCAGCTTTATCCTTTTACGTTATTTGTTTATTGTGAATTTTGTCGTAGCAATATTCCACGTTAAATGTCTATATTTTTCCTTCTGATTGAGGTGCGTTCACATATCCGAACAATAATAGCTACTCTATCCTTTACGACTTCAGTAAAATAATTGTGCTTATGTTTATATTTTGACCCTTTAGGTTGATTTTGCAATGCGGAATTAAATTCTTGGGAAGAATTTTGATTACTATTTTTACTCGAATTTCATTATTCAAACCACAGAATGCCTCAAAATTTCACTCGTCATGTTTGGCTTCAATCTCTGAATACCTGCAGCGCAAGCCGAAATTCGTTTCTTGAGCGATCTCTCCATTCTCATAGAAGTTGAAATTGTTTTCAAAGTCTCATACGGTTAAAGCAAAATTATTCCAAGACATTTTTGATAAACATCGGATACGTTCCCCATATGCGCTTCTGGAATGTAGGATTTCATTATGTAAGACGAGGGTTAAACTAATTCAATTAGAAAGGTGCGTCCTACCTTTTACATAAGTCGTTCATTGCCGAAATTTTCGACTTGCTATTCAGAGACCTGAAAACATTGCATTTCTAAATTTTCCAAGAAATTTCAGTCAGCGCTTGAGCCGCTTAGCGCTCAAGTAATAACATTCCGACTATCAGACGCGATTAAGTCAGCAGCAGCCTCTCAACTGCAAAATTTGGCATCCTACGTTTGATAGAAAAGTTCCAGGAATGCATCGTTTCGTCCTGGCGGGTTAGGTGAGCTGAAGCCATCCGCAATGACTGAAGTTTGAGATGCTGCTAGCGTCCGCATTCTGATCTTAGCTAAACAGGCCGCATCCGGCATCTTCGGGAGCCTTCCCCTTCCCAGAAAACAAAAACGGATCATCGGGAGCTGATCGTCCGCCGATTTTTTTACAAGACTTCTCTTTAATTTCAATTCTTGTTTGTTTGTCTGTCTGACTGTCTGTCTGCTACAAATCTTATAATCGATATTTAACACACTTCTAACTGTCCAATCGATCTGAAATTTTGCACACTTGTGTAAAGTTGGAGACAATGCATGAATCAATTTACAGTTTAATACAGTTTAATATTATAGTAATAAGCTCAGTAACTTTTTTTCAGATTCTAAAGTATAATATATTTAAGTCTCCTAACGTTTGATCGTGTTCACCAGCAGAAATTGCTTGTGTTCAGTTGAAGACTATAATAATATGCCCAGTAATTTTTTAATTAGTCTAGGGTATAATATATTTAAGTCTCATATCTTTTGATCGCGTTAACTAGAAAATATTGCTTTTGTTCAGTTTAAGATTATAGTAATAAGCTCAGTAACTTGTTTTATTTTCTAAGGTATAATATATTTAAGTCTCCCATCGTTTGATCGTGTTTACAAGCAGAAATTGCTTGTGTTCAGTTCAAGACTATAGTAATATGCCCGGTATTATTTCATTTATTCTAGGGAAGTCTCCTATTGTTTGATCGCGTTAACTAGAAAATATCGCTTGTGTTCAGTTTGAGATTATATCAATAAGCTTAGTAACTTTTTTATATTTTAAGGTATAATATATCTAAATCTCCTAACGTTTGATCGTGTTCACAAGCAGAAAATTTTTGTGTTCAGTTGAAGACTATAGTAATATGCCCAGTCATTTTTTATCCATTTTAGGGTATGATATATTTAAGTCTCCTATCGTTTGATTGCGTTAAATAAAAGAAGTCGTTTGTGTTCAGTTTAAGATTTTAGTAATAGGCTCAGTAACTTTTTTTTCTATTCTATGGGATAATATATATATAAGTCTCCTATCGTTTGATCGTGTTCACGAGCAGAAATTGCTTGTGTTCAGTTCAAGACTTTACTGACCTGCCCAGTAATTTTTAATTTATTCTAGGGTGAATTATATTTAAGTCTCCTATCGTTTGATCGCGTTAACTAGAAGATTTCGCTTGTGTTCAGTTTTAGGTTATAGTAATAAGCTCAGTAATTTTTTTTATATTCTAAGGTATAATATATTTAAGTCTATCCACGTTTGCTCGTGTTCAAAAGCAGAAATTGCTTATGTTCAGTTCAAGACTATAGTAATATGCCCAGTAATTTTTTATATATTCTAAGGTATAATATATTTAAGTCTCCTATCGTTTGATCGTGTTCACAAGCAGAAATTGCTTGTGTTCAGTTGAAGACTATAGTAATATGCCCAGTAATTTTTTATTTATTCTAGGGTATAATATATTTAAGTCTCCTATCGTTTGATCGCGTTAACTAGAAGATTTCGCTTGTGTTCAGTTTAAGGTTATAGTAATAAGCTCAGTAATTTTTTTTATATTCTAAGGTATAATATATTTAAGTCTCCTATCGTTTGATCGTGTTCACAAGCAGAAATTGCTTGTGTTCAGTTCAAGACTTTATTAATATGCCCAGTAATTTTTTATTATTCCAGGGGATATTATATTTAGGTCTCCTATCGTTTGATCGCGTTAAGTGGAAGTATCGCTTGTGTTCAGTTAAAGATTTTAGTAATAAGCTCAGTAACATTTTTTTTATTCTAAGGTATAATATATTTAAGTCTCCTATCGTTTGATCGTGTTCACAAGCAGAAATTGCTTGTGTTCAGTTCAAGACTTTAATAACATGCGCAGTAATTTTTTATTTATTGTAGGGTATATTATATTTGAGTCTCCTATCGTTCTGTCTCTTATACACATCTAGATGTGTATAAGAGACAGGTTTGATCGCGTTAACTAGAAGAAATCGTTTGCGTTCAGTTTAAGATTATACTAAAAAGCTCAGTAACTTTTTTTATATTCTAAGGTATAATATATATTAGTCTCCTATCGTTTGATCGTGTTCACAAGCAGAAATTGCTTGTGTTCAGTTCAAGACTTTAATAACATGCGCAGTAATTTTTTATTTATTGTAGGGTATATTATATTTGAGTCTCTTATCGTTTGATCGCGTTAACTAGAAGATATCGCTTGTGTTCAGTTTAAGATTATAGTAATAAGCTCAGTATATTTTTATATACGAATGTATAATATATTTAAATCTCCCAACGTTTGCTCGTGTTCACAAGCAGAAATTGCTTGTGTTCAGTTCAAGACTATAGTAATATGTCCAGTAATTATTTTATTTATTCTAGGGTATAATATATTTGAGTCTTCTATCGTTTGATCGCGTTAACTAGAAGATATCGCTTGTGTTCAGTTTAAGATTATATTAATAAGCTCAGTAACTATTTTATATTCTAAGGTATAATATATTTAAGTCTACTAACCTTTGATCGTGTTCACAAGTAGAAATTGCTTGTGTTCAGTTGAAGAATATATTAATATGCCCAGTAATTTCTTATTTATTCTAGGGTATAATATATTCAAGTCTCCCATCGTTTGATCGCGTTATCTAGAAGAAATCGTTTGTGTTCAATTTAAGATTATAGTAATAAGCTCAGTAACTTGCTTATTAGACTTCTCTTTAACTTCCCTTCTTGTTTGTTTGTCTGTCTGTCTGTCTGCAACAAATCTTATAATCGATATTTAACACACTTCTACCTGTCCGATCGATCTGAAATTTGGCACACTTGCGTAAAGTTGGAGACAATGCATGATTCAATTGACAGAATAAATAATTTTATAAATTAAAAGAAAACATTTTTTTTTCATAAAAAAAAAATTATTTCGTCTGCTACAAATCTTATGATCCATATATGACTCAATTTGCCTGTCCAGTTGATCTGAAATTTTGCACAATTGCAAAGTCAGAGACAATGCATGAATCAATTGACAGAATAAATAAGTTTAAAAATTTACAAAATTTTGATATCTTAAACAAATTTTGAAAAATAATTTTTCTTTTCAATATTTGAAAATAAAATTAAAAATTCATTGTACATGTGTAACATCCAAGACACTGGATTGTTCAGAAGTGTTGTCTTTAAAAAGTAATTTTCAAACGCATATTATTCGACTCGCATTTCCGGGGAAATTGAGGAGCAGAAAATTTGCCGAATTATACAACTATAGCTAATATTTAAATTTTCAACAGGCTTTTATTCACATTTCAAAGGTTTTTGTTGAGAATAATGTGCTCTACACTTGTAAACTTTGCCAAAAGAACCGAAAATGAAATGTACCGATTTAAGCCTATTATGATGGATTTTTACACACACATAGAAAACAGAAATTATATGAAATCTTGAAAATCCATCATCGAGAAACCAGTCACAAACTGCAATAATCGATTTTCATTTGTTTAATAAGGTTTGATTCGTTTGGATTTTCATCTTAACAACCAGTAGGTAAGATCCAGAATTCTTAATTCCACGTTTTACGGTTAGAAGAAATGCATGCAGAGATGGAAACATTAGATCATGACTATGCGACATTAGTCTTTGCTTCATGATATGGGTTGGAATTGGTTGTGGATTTGATATTAGAAACCAATTTCTAATCACTATTTTAATGTCATATGCTCTTTAAATTGATGGTTCCATGATTGACTAAATCAAAGAAGTTTGCATTATATGGCAATTTTTCTAATGAATTCGGAATGTCAAATGTCTGTGCTTGTTGCTCTTTAGCAAACAAATTTCAAAATGTGAGCTTTGGTCTGAAGAATGGATAGGAGGTGCGTGTATCGTAGATTCTTCTCGCTTCAAGTCTGCAAAC